ATACATACATACATACATACATACATACATACATACATACATACATACATTTATACATACACACATAACATACATACATCCAGGGGGCTCAATATAATCTATTCTTATTATGGTTCCCCTCCCCCAATATCTCCCAGATCCACTCACCTCCCCACCCACCTAAGTTAACACCCTCTTTGTCTCTGTCTCACTAGAAAACAAACAGATATCTAAAATCGCACTTGTGATTGGCTAACCAAACAAGGGTATAGGGCCTGGAGACAGCTGAATTATCACCAATCAGCAGCTATTGACTGACTCTTATTTAGCCCACCATATTGTTGGAATTTTTTGGGTGCAGCTTCTTTGCCATACTTGGAAGACACTATCCTCCCAGCAAGTATCCTGGTTCTCTAGTTCTTAGAGTGTTTCCTGTCCTCTCCTTTGTGATTTTTCTCTGAGCCTTAGATGCAGGCATTCTGAGTGCAGTAACCTAGACTCAGGAAAACAATTGCCATATCTTCATTCTTTTTCATGTATCTGAGCTTCACATCTTTAGATTTAAGTATCTAACTTTAAGTAACTATAGGAACTATGAAACAAAAAGGAACATGCTGGGAAAGGAGAGGAAGCTGTAGTAACTCACAGGTGTTATTAAAAGGGGACTGAGAAGAATGGGGTGCTTTAATTGCAGAGCGAGAGAAGAAAATGCAGTGGGAGAAGGACAAAAGAAAGATACCCCTTAAAAGTATGAGAAAAAAAAATAAAGATAGGCAATCTTTACTTTTTAAAAATACTTTAAATGTGTGTGTGTGTTTGTGTGTGTGTGTGTGTGTGTGTGTGTTTGTGTGTATTTGTTTGTGAAACCTGCTTTTGAGTTTGTCCTGGGAGTCCAAGCTGCCATTGCACTTAGCTGCTTCATTGAACATGAAATTAAGACTGTTTTTGAAAACGGCTCACAGTTTTGACACCTAACTTGATGAAATCAAAGCATCAATGAGCTGAAGGAGCTGAAGGCCTCTTCCCTAAAGACTAGCTGTCATAATATCAAAAGGTGCTAGGCAATTTGCCAAATTTCTACCCATCTGTTGAGCCTGCAAACACAACAGTGACCTCCAAGCAAGATTACCCTAATACTATCCTAGTAGCATCTTCATTTCGGTTGTAACCAACAGCTGTCTAAATGGATGTTGTTCTTAATGGGAGGGAATTCATGATTGGCACTGTGAACCTCACCAATCACCCATGGCTGGAGAGGAGAAACAACTAAATAGATACATCAGGACAGAGAAGGAATTCAAGTTTGGGTGAGGCAGGTTCATAGCCACTCTGAAGGCTGACTCAGGACCTCACTTATGGTGTTCCCTAAGAACACCCGGGGACTTGAGAGAATGACTCATGGTTCCTAAAATGCAGAGATCAAGTTTCTTCCAGTCAGCAAGTATCTTTGCTTACTTTGTGGTACCCACAAGTCTAATGAATAAAAACACTGTCACATGCACGAAAAAACACAGCTTTACCTTGTTCTTGTCCTAATCCATAAAAACAAATAAACACAGGCATGCATGAAATAGCTCACAGAGTGCCTTTGACAAATCAGGTGTCACATGATCCACATATAGCTTTATCTGTATAATCTCATCTCTCTTTCGCTCTATTCCTTTACTTTCCCTGTCTTATAGAAGTTCAAATCATAAACATTGAATGTTGGATATAGCTTAGAATATTGTTAACAGTATCACATTTTATCATTGTCCCTAAAATATGCCATTAGTCTACATTGCTTGCTCATACCGTTATCCATACATTCACAACAAAATCCTCAAATCTCTGTCGCAAACCCACATTCTTCTAGGCTCAGAGATCACACAGATAACTGTTTGACACCATCAGAGACCCTTTTGCTTACTTTCCCTTTCCTGAATGTCCATAGTTGGAAATGATCCCTTCCGCTGTGAATGTTATTCAGCAAGGTCTATAAAGTCATAAACCATAAAGTCATCTCCTTTCTTTCAGGTAACTTTGCACAACTCTATTCTGTGTCTTTGTGGCTTCTCTTATATTTCCCTATCTCTGAGGCTCGTCTTGTTTTCATGTTCCTGCTCCTAGCCGGCAGATCCTGACAGCCACCAGATGCTGAATGTGCCTTTTACCCATGTCCTTAACATAACAGAGGTCACTTTGCACATATTTAGCATCGCACATTTTGGTCTTCTTCTTTCCCCAAATTTGCTACTCAGACTAAGTGGAATCATTTTCCCTAGTTAGACAAAAACTCCTTAATACTGTAATTTCTCTTCCCTGGAATATTTTAATTGGATGCTTATAACATCTGAAGTTTTATGTCATTTGTGCGTTGCATAAATGCAGTAGCATGATTGATGTGTTAAGAGGTAGATATAATCTCGGCTTTCATTTTGTAATTTCTTTATAATAACACTTATATGGTAGAACTGTGATAGTAACATACTTTGAGAAGTTCAGTTTGAAATGGAAATACATGACCTTTGGTAAAAGAAAGAGTAGTACCGGGTTTTAAGGGGGCAGGAACAAAAATTAAACAGAGCACAGAATTTTTCTACGCATGGGACCTTATATTTCTGCACACGATGCATTCCCAGAAACTTGATGCTGTGGAATTGTTTCATACAACTGTCTGCGGAGAACAACTGTTGATTTACTCACGTGCTGAGGTACCTACATAACAGGGTTAATAAATACAGTTTATTATCAATGAGATAGTGGAATAAATATGTTAATCGATGCACTTTCACCATATTTTGACACAGACCACAGAGCAAGTGGAAATACGTAGAAAATATGAATCTACATTTGTTCTCAAGTCTATCATGCATTAGTTAGCGTGAATATTCAGAAACCAGAGAGCTTGGGTTTTGCAACCAGGCTCTGTCTACTATATTAGGTGTGGGTGTTTTGTAATGTTTTATAGCTTACTGTGAATTATTGGACACGACACAAGGATTGTAGATTATCTACTGTATAGACTTGACATGAAAATTATTCTCTATCAAGTCCTTTGAAGAATACCTAGTGCAGTAAAAATTTTATTTTTTTACAAGTTTGTATTAAAAATCTCTCATTTAAAATATAGTCTTCTTGTTGCAAAATTTTATGTAAATATTACTTCTTTGTAAATTAATAGCCATTAGTAGATAGGAAATACTTCCTTATATAGTTCATGGAGAATTACAAACATTACAATAGACATTTAGCCCATGATGATGAAAACAAATGATGCCTTTAATTTTTTTTATTTAAATTTTCTAAATCTTCTGATTAATTTTGTTAATTGAGCTGTAGTTCATTTGTTATATAATTTTAGAATTCAATTCAAATCATTTAAACTTCATCATTTCAGGCAGTTTTAAAGCCATTTATAAACCAAAGTGTTTATTTGTTTCTTTTTTGGAAATAATCCAACCAGGATTAATTATTTGATTTTTATTGTTAAGTTATTAAGTAATAAATTTTTATAAATATGAATGAGTCACATTTATTTATAATGATAAATAATTGGCTTTTACCTTATTTTAGGGAACAAGATATTGATTTGTATGCTAAATAAATAATAGTTTGGTGTGCAAACTATTAATCTCCGCCATCCTGAAATGACATCTGAAATATTAGTTTAATCATCAAATTTACACTTTTAAGTAATAACTATGCTCAATTGTCGGTTTTTTGGTACATTTGTTCAACTGATTTACTTAAGATGGTTTCTACCAAGCTATTTATAATCAACAATACAATCTTTAAAAAATAAATTCTAATCAATCATGCCTTCTAAAAAGCAATGTGAAAGTACTTCTAGGCATAACTTCTGTTATTTGTGAAGATTGCTTGGAAAGTAGAAAGCGATCCTGCCATTAGCACCCACTTCTTTATCGTACACATACTCAACTTTTCTCTCATAGACTTCACTCTGTAAAATCATGTTCAATTTATTCTTTTCTTATTAGACAGCATTACCGAAGTCTTCACTAACATCTATGTGACCAGTTTTGGCCCTGTCTCAGATACAGATATGGTGAGTTTTTTTTTATATTAAGTGTTTCTTAACCTATTGGAAATGGTGATAATTTGTAGTAATTAAGTTTTTTCATTGGTATAGAATTCTTTATGTAAGTCATGTCTGGCCGCACGAGCTGAAATTAGAGGATGTGCTTCAGATTTGGTGGAATCCAGCTTCAGCTTGAATGTTTAAATCAGCTCATTATGTATGTTTTCTATTTTTCTCCTCAAACTTACCCACCTAGCTGCAATGTGGCATGCAATTAAAATTTCAGAAGAATAATGATATTGTTGGTGATGACCTTCTAGGATTAAGGCATTTGCTTGATTTCCATATGACTGGTGAGTTTCATAGGTAGTTGCTTCTCATCAAGAGTTGTGAGTGTGACAGGCATATATCCTCACAGTCACTGAGCAAAGGGGTTGCCTTGTCATACAATTTGCACATGCAAGACACACATGCAAATCAATCCAAAGCAAACTAGGGTGTTGAAGCTGGGAAGTGGTGGCACACTTCTTTAATCCCAGCACTCAGATGTCTGTGAATTCTAGGCCAGCCTGATCTACAGAGCAAGTTCCAGGACTTTCAGGGCTAAATAAATAAATAATTGGATAAATAAATAAATAAATAAATAAATAAATAAATAAATAGAATTAAAGTAGAGTATTGAAATTACTGGATTTTTTTGACTTGATGTTTATTTGTATTTGTTTAAATGAGATACTTAGGAGAGGGATATTGGTGAAGTAAGATAAATTCTTATTATATGTAAAAATGTAATAGAAAAAATTTGAAATAATGTTTTCTCCCTGGTACCATGTCAGATTTTGTCACCTCTCCTAACTGACACCCACATTGCTTCCTTTTCCCCAACAAACACCTCTATTGTCCCATGCTGTCTCCTTGTCAGCTTGGAGGTTCACAATCTCTTTCAGCTCTCAGACATCCTCTACTCCTGGACATAACACTGTAAGCTCCAGAGGGAAGAAAATCATAAGAGATACTTTTGTGGATCTTGCACCCAGCACTTCCCACCTTCTCCTCTGTTCCTGATTTCTTCCCTCACTCTAAGAACACACAAGGGAAATGAACAAGTTGGTATTTTCCAACTGGATATTCAAATGAAGGACAACTAAACAAAGGAAAACAAAATATCCGTCCTTTTCTAGTACTCCTGATCATTGTTAGTCATTCCATCAAGATCTCCCTGCTTCTGTGCGTGAGCACATCTACAAGGAAAAGCTTTGCTTTTTTGTGCATCAGAGTCATGTTAGCTAAGCTGGGTGATGGACAAAGGTGAGGGGTGTGGGAGGAAGGAAGAGCTTCATTTTTTTGGAAGAGAGTTGATATAAAAATTGTGAAGTCTTAAAAATCCTTTCTACTTTATAATTTAATGGCCCTCTGACATAGGGACAAATTTGGAGCAACAGGAAAACATGCTGTTCAACCCAGACTTCTCTTCTCCACGAATTACTCCTTTTTGTTTTTATTGTTTAATATTTTCCCTTCATTTTTATGGGTTGACTTCAAAGTTAGGTAAGTACTCAACTTCTGTTCTGCATTCAGTGTTCCTGACCTGAAAAATTAATCTGTCTTGTTCCATTTGTCAGTATGAGTGGAGTGGATTTTGAAATGAGTCAATAACCTATATATTAGCAACTGATAGCCCAAGTTTTTATGGGCTGGTTTTAAAATGAGTCCACATTAAAACATCGCCCTTGTTTTAATGAGGCTAGTTTTAGTAAATGCTGGTAGCATATATTACACATGGTGTAGCTTTAATGGTGACATTTGGTGTCTTACTACTAACTAATATAGAAATATAAATGCTTTCAAGTGATCAGATACCAGTAATTATGCAATGCTTTCATTTATTATATTATAATTATAACAAGTTATTGTAGCAGAAGTTTTAATATTCAAAGGAAATATTTTTACGTAAAATCTCACGAATGAAGAACATATAAAGTATCATCAATTTCTAATAACCTGTGTTTCACAGTTTGAGATTTGTAGAAAAAGTACTCAGAGTCAAAGCAGGATGAGCTGGCATATACCCGTAGTACCAATACTTCTGAAGTTGAGATTGGAGGCTCAGAAATTCAAAGCCATTCTATGCTACTTACTGTGTGAGTCTCTGTTCCTAAAGTAAATCAGAGAGGTGTGTGAGGAAGAGAGGGAGAAGAACGAGAGAGACTGGAAAACACTGCTATTTCTGTCAAACTCTATGAATGTATTTTATTTTACTAATGATAATACATCTTATTAACCTTCCACTTGTATTCATTTTGACCATTCTTTTCAAATATTGAGATAGTCAGAAGTTTACTATTAGGTATATAACCATGAAGAACAAATTTTAAATAAATTTGAATTTCACTTGAAATACTTTGGTATATCATCAGGGAATAGAACCCAAAAATTTTTATGGAAAATAGTATTTAGCATGTTCAAAATATACTGTTATTTGTGAAAAACTTTTGCAAGTTCAAATAAATATTAGAATGTTCTCACATCTCCAACTGCACTTAAATTGAATGGATTTGAGTAGACTAATACTTGATAACAACTAAATAAAACATCAACCTTTGATTAGTTTTCGTTCTATATTTGGGAACAAACATGCCATTAGGGCTGTGTGCATGTGGGTGTGTGGTACATGCGTGTATGCTCAGGTATTATTATGTATACTTACTATGGAAACATTTTGCAAAATGAAATTTATGTTTACAAACGCCTGGAAAGGAATGTGTTTAGCCTCAAAAATTGCATAAATATTCTTTATGGGATTTTTTAAAATTGTAAATAAATTATTTTTAATTTATTTTTATTTTTATTAATTACAGTTTATTTGCTTTGTATCCCCCCTGTAGCACCCTTCCTTCTCCCCTCCCAATCTCAGCCTTCCTCCCTGTACTCCACCCATTCTACTCCCCCGGCCACTGATAGGGGAGGTCTCCCACATTCTTATGTTTTGTTCACTAATTGTCACAATTAGCTTCTTTGAAGGAAGATTTATTAATCACAAAACCCAAAATGGAAGTATACCATATCATCAATGTTCACAATAGAAACATCAGTGAACATTTTAACATTGAAGGGGGAAATTTAATGTAATCCTGTAGACAAGAACCACAGGCAAAGAACTATAGAATGGTGGGAGAAGGACAAGAATTAGCTTTTCCCGGGGATCATCACCCTTACTGATTATACAGTTCTGAGTGGTCAGACTAAAACCATATACATATCACCAACAAAACAGAAATAATAGGTTTTGTGTCTGTACACACCACACACACGCACTCACATATTTGTATATGTATATGTGTATGTATGTAACAATAATAACCAAAAAACAGAGGCTGTTGAAGGTGTATGTGGGATAATGAGAGAGTGCCCAAGAGAGGCTGGAGGGAGAAAAGGGAAGGGGAGAACTATGTAATTTTATTTCCATTTCAAACATAATTTTACATAGAAGATAGGATCTATAACAGGAATTTGAGCAGGAAAATGTAATACAAAGCAGTATTAAGAGGTTTGTTAAACACTGAAAGGGCTAAAAAATAACACTTAAAGTGAAGTAACACAGAATAAAAGAACGCAGATATAGAAGCAACTTGAACCACGGAATGATGGAAGACACTTAAGAACGTGCTTCTCCAAGGCAGTGAGCTCACAGTTCAGTGAAGAGGGTTCAGCAGCTCTCTGAAGCCCAAGCTACTGCTGCTGAAGAAACGTGTGAAGAGATGTATGTTTCCTAGCAGCATCTTGCCTGGTGCTGAAAATTCCCGGCATGCTAAAGAAAAACCACGGAAAAGAGTCAGGAAGAAAAGCTTCCACCTTGTGACAAGACATTGGAGTGTTCCTCTGGATACCTCATTTGACTAGACCTGATACTACATAGTTGAGAAATAAAAAATGTTGACATAACCCATCTCAACGGAAAAGGGGTAAATTTGGAGGTGAACCAAAAAATGCTGTATACTGAAACATATAATAACCTATGATGGAAAGATGATTTAAAGCATGGAAAAAGCGATAGCTTGATCACTGAGGAGCTTCTATGTCATATTTGTTCAGATCCACTGAAGAAATATGAAATTATAAAAAATAATTATTATATTATATTTTATTTTATTTTTAATTAAATTTTTACTTTTTAATATTAGTTACAGTTTATTAACTTTGTATCCCAGCTGTTTCCCGCTCCCTCATTCCCTCCCAATCCCACCCCCCTTCCCCCATCTTCTTTCTACCCTTTCCAAGTTTACTGATAGGGGAGGACCTCCTACCCTTTCATATGACCCTAGCTTATCAGGTATCTTCAGGACTGGCTGCAAAGTCCTCCTCTGTGGCCTAGCAGGGCTGTTCCTCCCTTGGATAGGGTGGGGGGAGATCAAAGAGTCAGCCATTGAGTTCATGTCAGGAATAGTCCCTGATCCCCTTACTAGGAAACCCACTTGGATACTGAGCTATCATGGGCTACATCCGAGCAAGGGTTCTTGGTTATATCCATACATGTTCCTTGGTTGGAGAAACAGTCTCATAAAAGACCCCTGTGCCCAGATTTATTTGGTCCTTGTGGAGCTCCTGTCCTCTCCAGGTCATACTAACTCACCCTTCTTTCATATGATTCCCTGTACTCTGCTGAAGGTTTGGTTATAAGTCTCAGTATCTGCTTTGATACAGTGCTAGGTTAGAGACCTTCAGTATGCCTATGTGCATACAAATACAAACATATCTGTATTTATCAATATCTCTATATAAATGCACAACACATACCTATAATTAGTGTAGCTTGTATTAAAATACGTACATCCCAGATCTGCTAGAGAAGATAATCAGATATAAAAAAAATTGGAAATGATGTAAATATACAACTCATGCATGAAATTCTTTAAAAAATAGTTAAGAAACCAGGAATGACGTGGAATTTAATCTTATCTATCTATCTATCTATCTATCTATCTATCTATCTATCTATCTATCACCTATGTATCATCAGCTTTGTGAAG